GCGACTTGTGGTGCGACTTTGATTCGACTCTACATTCACTGGACTAAAGTTGCTTCAAAAGTTGTAGCAAAGTAAGTGCCGGAACTACTTTCAAGTCACTGCGACTTCAAGCACAGATTTGAATGGTACTCATTGGGAAACATGGGGTGTGACTTGTCATGCGACTTTGGACTCCAAAGTCGCATGGCAAGTCACACAAGTGTGAATGGACACTTAAGCCAGCTATAGCCGGCAGCACTGATCAATGTATTTCTGACTGCGGAAAGTCTCCCCACTGTAGAAATACAGGAACTCAGTGGGAGTGATTCCTCCATCTACATCAAATGTAAGAGTGGGAAATTGGGTCCTTTTTTTTCATTTCAACTCGGTGGTTGGATGAAAAAAAATGAAGCATGTATGGGCTGCCTAAACAAAGATGCTTCTTGGATAAGCTGACAATGTTTTTTAAAAATGTAGACCAAAATGTACACCCCCAGGTCACATAGGTGCAACTTGGCATGCGATTTTCATACCATGCAACTTGCAAATCATATGCCGCTCAATGGTCAAATTGGTGCGCTTCCGACTTGGTTGGAGCTGCACCGATTTTGAAAGTAGTACATGTACTACTTTTGGTGCAATTTGCATAGACATCTGTGTCAGATGTCTTTGTAAATCGCACCTGAAAATCGGCATCTCACCCGACTTTGAAACTGTGCGACTTCACTGTAATTCGCACGATTTCAAAGTCGGGCTTGATGTGACCAGGGGGTTAATGACAACAATCTGTAGCATCTAGTTGTCGAAAAGAGATGTAGACAGCTGCTTGATTGCATTTCTGTTTGAAAAGAATTTTTAAACTGTAGTGCAAGCTGCATGGAAATCTGTAGGAATATTGCAAGGGGGAAAAAAAATCAAAAAGCATTTATTCCAACTTACCTTTGAAAGTAGCAGATTCTGGAAAAAAAAAGTCTTGGCAGTTGTCTGCCCCAGTGGTCTAAGCCCCCAGTCACATCAAAGCTGATTTTGAAATCGTGCGACTTACAGTGAAAATTGGGTGACCTGCTGATTTCAGTTGCGATTTGCAAGACATCTGACCAGGGGCGGACTGACAACTCATAGGGCCCCCAGGCAATAGGGGATCATGGGACCCCTGTGTCCTTGCCCAAACTCAAAAAAGCCTATGAAAAAGGTACCAGGGGCATCTCATGGGGCCCTCAACTGACCTCGGGCCCTTGGGCAGGGCCCGAGTTTCCAAATGGTCAGTCCGCCCCTGCATCTGACACAGATGTCTATGCAAATGCAACAAAAGTAATACATGTACTACTTTAGAAATCTAATAGCGGACAATAGGGTCCGACTTGGCATACGATTTGCAAGTCACAGGACTTTACCATAACAGCCGATGTGACTGGGGTGTTATGGAAAAAGCACTGACCTCCTAAACAAGGTGTTGTGGGTTTAAGTCTCATCTGGGGTGCTTTGACACATATTACTTGTCTCTTTTAAAGTGTAAGTTTGCCTTTTCAGAAAAAATAAAAAAGTGAACTATCACCATATACCCTCCCCTCCCCAGTTCCCAATGCACTTACCTCTATGGGTGATACGCTGTCGGAAGCTTTGCAGCCGGCGTAGCGGTCTGGGGATTTAAAATCCATGCTCTTCCTCCCCTTCCAGGACAGACCAGAGTGATTCTGATTGGTCAGGGCTGGCACAGAGCATTGCTCTGATCCATCCTGAAAATAATGCAGAGAAAAGGGGGAGAAAAGCGATGATTTCAAATCCCTGCAACTGCCGTGTGGGTACTGACAGCCCATCACCCATGGAGGTAAGTACAGCTGGAACTGGGGAAGTAGAGAGCATGTAGGATGTTTAGTCTGCCTTTTTTATTTCTTTAGAAAAGGTAAAATTACACTTTAAGCACTTCTAGTCCACTTTCACCCCCTTCCAATCCAGGTCAATTTTTAGTTTTCAGCACTGTCACAATCTGAGTGACAATTACTCATGCACCCATACGAAATTTTTATAATTTTTTGGTGGTATTTAATCACCACTGGGTTTTTTTAATTTTTGCTGTAAATAAATAAATATCAAAAATTAAAAAAAATAATTTTTTTTGCTTAGTTTTTGTTATATAATTTTGCAAATATAATCTTTCTTCATAAGTTTAGGTCAAAATGTATTCTGCTACATTCTCGGGTAAAAACAACCCAAACAGTGTACTGTATTATTTAGTCTGTGTGAGAATAATAGAGTCTAAAAACTATGGGATATATATCTGAAAATTGATCAGCTGAGACCCTAAAATGCCAGACGCTGGGCTGGTATGGGGTATTGGCAGTGATCAGGATGCTGATTATGGCAGTGATGAAGACAATGGTATGGGGCATGGCAGTAATCAGGATACTGGTAAGACATGAGATGATCAGAATGCTGGTATGTAGTATGGTGGTGATCAGGACATTGGTATGGGTTATGGCGGATGCTGGTATGGTGGTGATCAGGGCGCTAGTATGGTGTATGGTGGAGATCAGGACGCTGGTATATGGCATATGGCAGTGATCGGGATGTTGGTATGGCATATGGCGTCGTGATCATGGTGCTTGTATGGCATATGGCAGGGATCAGGGTGTTACATGGCATATGGCGGTGATCATGGTGCTTGTATTGCATATGGCGGTGATCATGGTGCTTGTAGGGCATATAGTGGGGATCAGGGTGTTGGCATGGCATATGGCGGTGATCATGGTGCTTGTATGGCATATGGCGGGGATCAGGGTGTTGGCATGGCATATGGCGGTGATCATGGTGCTTGTATGGCATATAGCGGGGATCAGGGTGTTGGCATGGCATATGGCGGGGATCAGGGTGTGGGCATGGCATGGCATATGGCAGTGATCATGGTGCTGGTATGGTGGTGATCAGGAAAGTGGTAAGACATGAGATGATCAGAATGCTGGTATGTAGTATGGTGGGGATCAGGACATTGGTATGGGTTATGGCGGATGCTGGTATGGTGTATGGTGGTGATCAGGGCGCTAGTATGGTGTATGGTGGAGATCAGGGCGCTGATATGGCATATGGCAGTGATCGGGATGTTGGTATGGCATATGGCGGTGATCATGGTGCTTGTATGGCATATGGCAGGGATCAGGGTGTTACATGGCATATGGCGGTGATCATGGTGCTTGTATTGCATATGGCGGTGATCATGGTGCTTGTAGGGCATATAGCGGGGATCAGGCTGTTGGCATGGCATATGGCGGTGATCATGGTGCTTGTATGGCATATGGCGGGGATCAGGGTGTTGGCATGGCATATGGCGGTGATCATGGTGCTTGTATGGCATATAGCGGGGGGATCAGGGTGTTGGCATGGCATATGGCGGTGATCATGGTGCTTGTAATGGCATATGGCGGGGATCAGGGTGTGGGCATGGCATGGCATATGGCAGTGATCATGGTGCTGGTATGGTGGTGATCAGGAAAGTGGTATGGTGAATGGTGGTGTCTTGTGAGTACTGGGAGAGGTGACAGGGGCTGTCTGCATTTCTTATTAGGACAACACTAGGGCAGTGATCAGGGACATTGGGGCAGTGATCAGGGACATTGGGGTGGCTGGCACTGCAGTCTGTGAGTGTACAAGCACTCTGATGTACTGCTATACACTCACAGGCTGTAGCATCGGTTCTCACAGTGAGAGAGAGAACCAATACATATTTCCAGTTTTTATTGTTTATCGTGTGATTGCTGTAATTGGACACATCAATCACATGATAAAATACCATATGATCACCAAGACACATCAGTAATGTGATCTGCTGTGTCCAGGTTACACATGGATCACGGGCTCCTGTCCTGTGAGCTGCACAGGAGCCACTGAAGTGGGCTGACGTACAGGTACATTAGCCAGCATCAGCACTGCTTCCCATCCGTTTATAGGCAATGAGCAGACTGGAAGCCGTTAGCCTCTTTCCCTCCCAACCCTATATAGCAGAAAATATACTGCTACAGGGCGGCAGGGCTGAGCAAAGTCATGTATATATATGTGATTTGCATTTCCAGGTAGAGGGCTCGCGTACCGCCACTGGCGGCTATGGATGTCAATCATCTAGTCTCAGACGGAGATTCCCCGCCGGCACCTGGCGATCACTGAGCAACAGTGACAGGGGAGAGACCTGTGCGTAAACAACACACAGGTCTTCTCTCCTGCCAGCAAGAACATGGTGCTGTGTATTTCTCTACACAGCAGAGCAATACAAAGCAGTATGTTTACATAGCAAAGCACACACAGCACATCATGTAAAACGCAACACACAGTCAGGGGCGGACTGACAACTCATGGGCCCCTGGGCAATAGGAAATCATGGGGCCCAGGGGCGAACTGACAACTCATGGAGCCCCCAGGCAATAGGAAATCATGGGGCCCCTGTGTCTTCGCCCACACTCAAACCACACCGAAAAAAGCCTATGAAGTTCCCAGGGGTATCTCTTGGGGCCCCCTACTGACCCCGGGCCCTCGGGACAATGCCCAAGTGCCTAAATGGACAGTCCACCCCTGCACACAGTTAACCCTTTACTCGCCCCAGATGTTAACCCCTTCCTGCCCAGTGTCATTAGTACAGTGTCAGTGCTTTTTATTAGCCCTGATCACTGTAATAGTGTCATTGGGGATGTCAGTGGCAGTTAGTCAGTTCTCACCCTGTGTCAGAATGCAGTCCCCCGCAGTCCCACAATAAGTCGCTGATCACCGCCATTAACTAGTATAAAAAAAATTCAAATAAAAATTCCAGTATATATACCGCCATTTGTAGACACTATAAAGTTCATGTAAACCAATTAATTTACATGTCTTGGGATTTTTTTTTTAGCAAAGATGTAGCAAAACATCAAAAATACTGTTTTTTTGTTTTTTAAATTGTTGGTCTTGAATAGCATAATTACTCTGCAGTTTATGCCCTGTGGTTTGAGAACTTTACAAGGTGGGTATAGCAGCAAAACAATGTAAAAGGTTTTTCCAGCAGTGGGACTGCGGCCGGCATTCTGACACCGAGTGGGAACTGATTAACTGCCACTGATATCCCCTACCTGATACTAAATACAGTGATAACTGCTAATAAAAATGTAGTGTCACTGTACTAATGACACTGGGCAACCCTGAAAGGGTGTTAACATCTGGGGTGATCAAAGGGTTAACAGTGTGTTGTGTTTTACATAGTGTGCTGTGTGTGTGTTTACTATGTAAACATACAAAGCAGCATGTTTGTGCTGACAGGGGATGATCTGTGTTGTTTACACACAGACCTCTCTCTGTCAGCTCCGCCCCACGATCACCGAGTCCCAACCGTGAATTGGCGGCCAGGACCCGGTGATTAACATGCCGAGGAGCCAATAGGATACGTGCGCATACCCTACCCGGAAATGCAAATCACATATACTGTATAAATGTGATTATGTGCATCCCTGCCACCCTTAAACCGCTTTAGGACCGCCCTATAGCAGATATACTGCTACAGGGCGGCACCTGTGCGCAGGATCACGCATATACCAACATCGTTCTGCATTTCCGGTAGGGGGCACGTGGGGAGCCCTACCCACGCTGCCGTTCGCGGCCGTTGATGTCAATCACCGGGTCCCGGCTGGTAATTACCCGCCGGTGCCTGGTGATTATGGAGCATCTCCGACAGAGAGGAAGATTGTTTTGTTTACAAACAATCTTCCTCCCTGTCAGCTCGAGCACAACTGCTCGGGATGGCTGTGCACAGTACAGCCATCCCGATCAGTGTGCTTACAGTGAAGAAACCCCCCCTAGTAAAACACTCCAGCACACAGTTAACCCTTCCTGCTCAGTGTCATTACTGACACAAAGTTAGTTCCCTCCAGTGTCAGAAAGTCCGCTGCAGTCCCACTAAAAGTCACTGATCGCCACCATTACTAGTAAGAAAAAAAAATCCCATTATCTATACCGCCATTTGTAAACGCTATAAACTTTTCATGTAAACCAATTAATTTACAGGTATTGGGATTTTCTGTAACAAAGACATGTAGCAGAATACATTTTGGCCTAAATTTAAGATGAAATTTGATTTTTTAAATTTTTTTTTACTGGACATGTTTAATAGCAAAAAGTCCAAAATATTGTTTTTTTTCTCAAATTTGTCGGTCTGTTTTTGCTTATAGTGCAAAAAATAAAAAATGCACAGATGATCAAATACCACCAAAAGAAAGCTCTGTGGGGGGGAAAAAAAGGACATACATTTCATTTGGGTGCAGCGATGCATGACTGCGCAATTGTCGGTTAAAGTAACACAGCACCATAACTCAAAAAAATGGCCTGGTCATGAAGAGGGGTAAGTCCTCAGGAGGGCAAGTGGCTAACAGTTCTTCCGCTAGAGGGCGGTCGGTAAGCCGTTAAAATCTTACCTTGGAAAGAATAAGAGATCTAATGGACAGGGCAGAGGCCTCCTAAGCTAGGGCAGCAGTTGTGGGTTCAAGCACCATCTGGGTGGTAGATATTTTGCTTATTTCTTTAAAGGATAACTAAATACAAAAATGTAATATATTGCAGCCTACAATCTTTAGATGTGGTGTCTGTTTTTTCATTTTATTTTTTCAAATTAAAAACATTTTCAGCCAATACAGAAAATATTCTTTGATCTGGCTAGAAATGCAGTGTTCTTGCTTCTGAGCTGCCCCAAAGAATATCTTCCTTCCTAACTACCTTCTGGAAACAACCAATTGCCCCCCCCCCCCCATGTGACAGAGTTGAGAGATATGGGCATATTTGTAGTCCATATCAGAAGAGCAGCCTAGGGTGACAACCATGGTTCCCTCCATAGATACAGTGGAGGAGTGACCAGGGGCAGACTGACAACTCATGGGGCCCTAGGACAATAGGGGATCATGGGGCCCCTGTGTGTCCTTGCCCACACTCAAACCACTCCCAAAAAAGCCTATGAAAGGTACCAGGGGCATCTCATTGAGCCCCCTACTGACCCCGAGCCCTTGGGCAGTGCCGAGTGTCCGAATGGTCAGTCCGCCCCAGGGAGTGACCTAGCCCACTGAAGACATGAAGTGTGTTATTTGAAGAATTACCAGGTGAAAATAAAGCAAAAGTACCTGGAAATAAAACAAAGAAAACAAATGGAACCACTGCACCAAGCAGTACAGGCAGAGTCTCCAGAGGACGGCTTGCAGGCAGCAAGGTACCATGGGATATGTAGTCCTTAGAAATGGAAAGTAAACAGCAGAGGAAAAGCTACAAAGCATGAAGGGAATCCAGGAAGATGTGGAAAGAGACGGCCAGAAGACAGTCCAAAAAAGTGGCAAACACCCCAACCTATAACAAGCCTTTTTGCAGTAAGGTGCACATTAAAAGGGCATTGCACATCACAAAGATTTCCCAGCACACTTACCAATTTGCCTGCAAAACAACCAAACTGACAATGTCCAACAATTCACATTAATCTAATCCATTAATATATCCACTGCTATATGTGCTCCAATTTTGGAGACTCTAAAAATTATAGTGCAAATGTGTTCAAACAAAACCCTCTCCTTTTATCATGAATTGTTAAACTGAGCTAATTTGGTTGTTTTGCAGGCTATCTGGTAAGTGTGCTGGGATATCTTTGTTTGTGATCACCAGCAGACTGGCAGAACTCACAACATGAAAGGAGATTTTTCAAGTAAACTTATATTGGATTGTCAAATATAACTATTGTTTGTATTGTTATTACAATGCTCATGTCATAAAGTGAGAATGTATACTGGGACCTTAGATCTTCTAAAATGTGTAGTGTTTTTAGATATATCTTTAACCTCCTAGTGGTATTCCCGAGTGTAGCTCGGGGTAAAGTTTCTGTACCAAAAGCGGTAACCCCGAGCTACACTTGGGCTTACCATGCGGCGCTGCATAGGGATTCCCTGCAGAGCTTACCTTGTCCTTCGCTCCCACGATGTGTCCCCTGCAGCGTCCCCGGCCATCTCCTCCGGCCGATGCCGGCATCCGGCTTCTGTGTTCCGGTCCCTGTGACGTCGGGACGTACGGGCGCTGCTGGCGGCGGGAAATTTGAAAATTTTAAAAAATTTAATTTTTTTCCAAACAAATTTTTCATAGTAAAACATTGCTGTGTCAACCCATTTCACATACATTTTGTCCAACTGCTTTGTCCTGTGCCCTGCCTGCATTTTTGTCTGTTCTTTCTGCCTGGAAACTGAGAAAAGTCCATGGCGTCCAAAAAGTGTCCCTTTAGGTCAAAAGCGGGTTTAGATCAGCTAGAGAACAGCGATAGTAAATCAGAACCACTTGCAGAATTAAGTGATAATGATTCGTGGGGAAATTCGTCATCAGACACTGAAAACGATTTTGCGACTTTGCTCAGCAATGTGCGAACTTGGCGCTTTAGTTCAAATTTCAGTGTTTTCGGTTTGATTATATTATTGAATTAAATGTATTATTATTATTATATTATTATTTTTTATGATTATTTATTAAATTATAATTTATGATTTCGTGTTTCAATTTTATCATACCCGGGATGTTTAATAGACTCTTGTTTGGACAGATTTCAGTGAGTTATTCCTAAAAATGACAGCCTACAATAAAAAAACTACATATTTCCATGCAAAATAATGGTATCGCTTTCAGCACCAAAAATCTGAAATAATTATACCGCCAGGGAGGTTAATCTTTATTTATTAGGATCAGGACTAAAAAAATAAACATTTAAAACACATTTTTTAGTGAGGAAAATATGAAATGTTGCAGATTAATATTATGTACTATCATATGCAATCAGTAGTGGAGCTTTAGGCACCCTTTCACTTTTTTTTCAATTTCTCCTGAAAAAAAGAAAACTAACACAGCCACCAAATCAACTGGTAAGGTAAGGACTGGTAAGGACTGGTAAGTTGCAATATGGTACATTTACTGTATGTTACTGGTATTAGATAGACTAAGTTTGCATTCCACCTGGGCGTGTTTTAGTATGTTTTTGCACATTGCACATAGGGGCAGCCAGTCACTCGAATTGCCAAAGAAGCTTCAGAATTTTTCAGTGCATCTTTTGATGTATCTGCAGCGCGTTTGACACATAACAAAACAATGGCACTGCAAGCATGATCCTCTTCTGCAGTGTATTTCGGAAAATGCACAGCAAAACACAAATTTCCTGTGCGTTTTGTCATGCGTTCAAGGAACGCGGAGTGTTTAATGGAGCCTTAAAGTGATATTAAACCCTCAGTGTTTAGCACTTTCAGCAGCTGATTTAATTAATTACTTTTAATATGGTGTTGCCTCATTTCAGTGGGAGGAATTATGTCCCAATGTTGGTGCTAGTGGAAGGAATGGTGCCTCATATCAGTGGGTTCGGTGTTAGTGGGGAATTTTCATGTTTATGGTCCCAATGTTGGTGTTAGTGGAAGGAATGGTGCCTCATTTCAGTGGGAGGAATT